CTCTGACCTCCACCTTTCTTGGACCCAACTGGCCCCTCAGCAGTCTTTACCACACAGTTGTCACCTTCCAACCGCTCAATAACTTTTGCCTTCTCAACCAAGGCCGGAAACTTAGTGATAGCCATAGGCACCACCACCCTCTTCAACTCTTGTCTTAAACCCTCAACAAACTTCCTACACTTCCAGACCTCAGAAATAGTTTGCGAATAGAAACGAGCCAGGTGCTCGAATCTCATCGCATAATCGTACACCGTCATCCCATCCTGGTGCAATCGCATGAACTCAGCCTCCTTGGCATGCCTCACACTCTCTAGGAAATACTTCTGAAGAAATACTCTCTTGAAGCACTCCTAGTCAACAACAACACCTCGAGCAACCAACATGTGGTGGGTGCCTCTCTACCAATGTTCAGCCTCCCCTACCAGCATATAAACAACATAAGCCAACCTCCTCTCCTGAGAACAGCCCAACACTGTAAATATTTTCTCCAGCTCACAGATCCAATGGTCAGCTACCTCTAGGTCTGCATCACCCTTGAATTGCGGAGGATGACACTTACGGAACTCAGCTAGATCCCGGCTCTCCTGTGACTCAACTGGTCTTGCTGCACCAGCTGCAGCTCTATCAGCATCTATCCTAGCAAAGAAGGCATTCTGCTGTTGCATAGTCATAGCCATCATCTCCATGGCACGGGCAATCTGCTCATTGGTTCTAGTCATTCTCTCTCTTTAACTATACATTTTAAATTAAATTTTAAATACAATATTATATATAATAATTTTTATTGCTTTGAAGTATTATATAACAAATTTTAAATAGACAGATGTAGTTTATTATCATATATAAATTAACTATATAAAATAAACATATAAAACAAATACATTTATTTGTAGTTTATATATTTTAAATATATAGTGTAACTTAAGAGGAATGAGCACAACTAAATCTTTTTCTATTGCAAAAGTCAAGGAATTAGGATATGCATGACTGAGTATTATAACATTAAAATTTTGGATATACATTCATTAATGATTAAGGTCATTATTGATATTGTCTGTTAGTTAAGGATAGTTTATTCTATTAAGACCATCAATCCTACAATGTCCACAACATTGTTTTCATTGAGACTTTATCCAATTCATTTTATTTCTTATATGAGTTGATTTTGAACATCCCTCAGCATGCAAAATAGTTTGATTAGGGATAATGTGAGGTCTATTGGTAGGATGAATGTTGTCATGACTACCATATGGGTACCATTGTCCAGAATATGCCTCTTTGATATATATATGCATTTAAATAAGCAACATCAACATAATTCAAGGGATCTACACAAACATAAGTAAATGGGGGCAATGACATGTAAACATGGATATTTGTAAGTATGGAAAACACCACACTCACATTTTCGTTCATTAAGAATTATTGTCCAAGTATGACCACCTTTTCGTGTAACTGGATTGAAATCTTCTTTCACTTCAAATTTGTTGGTGGCCTCATAGTCATATCTTTGAAGTAGATGAGATGTTGTCTCCTCTTGATTGTTTTGCATAGCATCCATTAACTTTCGACAATATCATTGACCAACCGCAAGCTCTACATTTGCTTGACCTAACCTTTGTACAAAATACTCAACTAACCTAGCATATGTACACTTTACAAGAGTTGTTATTGACAAGTTATGATTGCAAGTTGTATAATCTGTCCAAATTTTACAAGAAATATAAACATCAGGTAATAGGATAACATATTATGTAGTACAAAAAAAAAAGAATGTAAGAAACAAATAATGTTATACCCACGTGAATTAGCTCTTCTTTGAGTTTGACATTTTTAAAACAGTGGTTAAAATTGCTTGTGATGTGGCAAATACAATGGACATGATAGGCATTAGGTGGTTGTCAACCATTGTTTTAATTTGTCACTGTTAATTTAATGCTTTGATGTCGATCTGATATCAAATAAATGTCTTGCTTTATAGTTACATATCGACAAATGTTTAACAAGAACCATGACTAATCACATAATGTTTCATCTTTAACTACAACAAAAATAATTGGTGTACCGCGAGCATTACCATCTTGTATTGTAACGATTAATAGAGTGCTACGATATTTTTCATATAAAAATGTTTCATCAATTTATATGATGAGTTTTATGTAATTAAATGATAAGCAGGCAGCTTTGAATGCATCAAATTTTGAATTCTGCTACGGAGTTGGGGAACAGGAGGATAGGAAACGCAACGCGCACTCCCCCCTCTCGGCTTTCTCTTTTACACGTTGCTTCATACCGTGCACAAGGCCCCCTCCACTTTCTGGGTCAAGCCTTAGTACCATTCGCTAAGACAGGTTTCAATCAAACCAGAAGGCGTGGCCCCTCACCTCCTTTTGTGTGATGCACAACGCACATGGGGTTTGCTTCAATTGTGTGCCAGCTTGACAAAAACTATTTACTTTGGTAAATAGTTTTTTTAATTTTTAATTTCTTGTATTTTCTTTTTTATATTTATATAGGTTTAAAAGTCCTCACAAATATTGGATTCATCATCACATTTTCTATCATTTTAATTCAACGTTTTGTCAACGCAATTTCTTTCTACTTTAATTCCATGTTATTTATTTTCCAGTCCTGTATAACATATTTGATCAAAATCTTTTTTATTATACTACTTTATTAGAATGATTAAGATTAACTTTATTTTCTAGTCTTAATTTTCATTTGTGTACTCAATCGTTGCAATTCACTATTCTGAATACTGTTTGACGTTTAATCATTTTTTAAGTTTGGACCTTTATGGAATCCTACTGTTTTTTTTTTTTAAGAAAAGGAAATGGATAAGAAATAGAGTGAAGAAAGTAAAAAAAATAAAATAAAAGTTGTTTGTTTGAGAAGAAATAGAGTGGAGAAAAATTAAAAAGTGGTGGAACTCAACTTAACACAGGTTTATTGTGGATTTAGGAGCTTGAGTTAGTGGGAAATGCTATTTTTTTAAAAATAATTATATAAATAAAAAACATAAATATTACACAAAAAAAGAAAAAAAAAACACGGTTAGTAATAAAAATGAGTAAAAAAGAGACTAAAATATAATAATAAGAAAAAGGCTTAAATATGTTTTTAGTCCCTCAAATTTAAGACAAATTTGTTTTTGGTCCCTCAAATTTAAAATTATTGTTTTTAGTTCCTGTAATTTTCAAAAATCTTGTTTTAGTCCCTTAAGTCACTAATAACATATTTGAAAGTGACTAATTAAGACAGTTATGCAATATGACCTGGATTTAATGTGATATTTTCACTAATAAGGACACGAATAGATAGATTTTATGCAATAATGTTTGATAAATTTCTTAAAAAAAATTGAATATAAGGACTAAAAACAACAATTTTAAATTTGAGGGACCAAAAACAGATTTACCCTAAATTTGAGGGACTAAAAACATATTTAAGCCTAAGAAAAAATTAGTCAATAAAAAATAAGAATTAACAAAAATTAAAAAAACTAATTAACATATAAGCTCATATTTATTAGAGTTTAAGAGTGAAGTGAAATTTTAAATTAATTAAAATTAAATATGTTAAATAGTATATACTTAATATATTAATATCCTCAAATGTAAAACTCTTGGATAGTGACGGATCTAGAAATTTTAGATAGTGGGGGCAATATTTATTCATATATTTATAGTATTAAAAATTTTATATATAATTTTAAAGGCATAAATATATATCATGATTATTTTTTACAAGTTTTTATATTTACTATTACAATTAATTAAAGATGAAAATAAATTAGGTTAGATTAAATTTTATAACAATTTAGTAGGTTTGAACATTGCTTTCTTTAAAAATATATATTATAAGTATGACTTATTTATCTATCATAAATATTTTTTTAAATGTTTGGCTAGAATTACAATCTTAAAGACCAACTTTATAATAATTTAACACTATTAAAAATTGTTCTTACCTAAGATCGGTCGAGAGGGACGATCTACTAGGCAAGATTGGTGAGCCTTCTTCGCTGGGTACGTCGGCGGCTCCGAGATGGGGGTGGTAACTGTAAAAGAGACTTTGATGCTAAAGTTAGTTTTTGATAGTGTAATCGTCTCATATATATAGTGCACGTACCTTGGTGTGAATCAGGATTTTCCTCTTAGGCGAGGGTAAGGTTGATCTAAGCCTGGGATTGGCCGCAACCCGATATATAGTGGGCCTTTGTTTTGGTCGATGTCACATAGCATCTATCCGATGTCGTTCAGTGCTTTAGTGTCGAGCTTAAGTTCGGCGCCTTGACGCGGATAGTACAAAAATAAATATGTTAAATTTTATAAAAATCAAGTTTAATTTATTTATGATATAAACATGTTTTTAATTTATAATATATATTTTTAGATGATAATTTATTTTAAAATATATTTTATAATAATAATTTTAAATGGAACATAAATTTTTTGATTTTTTTTATTATGATTTTTTTAATCAACGTATACAATAAATAAAAAACATAAAAGATAAACATGCATACCGTAAATCTTATTTTATCAAAAATTATTTTTTTAATATATTAAATTATATATGTGAGTATTAAAATATATATATATTAATTAAACTTTAAAAAATTAATTTATTATTAAAGAATATTCTTTATTATATAAAAAAAATTAATCTCCTTCAAAAGTTTAACAAACATCAAATAAATAAATATATTTTTCAAATTTATATTTTATACATATGATAATTTAAATATATATATTTATTTTATTAGAATATGATTTTTTATTTTTTAAAATATATTATCTTTTTAGATAAAAAAATTATATATATGTTAAATACTAGTTGGGAAAAGTGCCCAACTGTTGTATAACTTAGAACCGTCGCTTATAACAATAATATGATGACGTGGAGAAGTGTGGTTCACTGAACGATATGACGTAAGCCTGACATTAGTAACGAATTATAGTGTTTTGAATGGAGTCACGGAATTCCAAATATATACACACACTTGCTTGCATTATTGATATGAAGATGGAAATGGTGACTAATGTTAGCGAGTATGAGGCCCTTGCAAAGGAAAAATTGCCAAAGATGGTTTATGACTTCTTCGCAGCAGGGGCAGAGGATGAGTGGACTTTGAAAGAGAATCGAAATGCATTCTCGAGGATTCTGTAATTTACTTTTCCCAGGAATCAACACCTCCATTTACCTGTTCTATGATCTCTCCTTTTTTTCATTCACCTTTCCTTTGATTTTTAAGGATTGCAACTTATATATGCTTCCTTTTTGTTCTCAATATCTATTTGGTTAACTTCAAACAGGTTCCGTCCCCGTATTCTTGTTGATGTTAGCAAGGTAGACTTGACTACAACAATACTGGGCTTCAAAATATCAATGCCTATTATGATTGCTCCAACATCCTTCCATAAGATGGCTCATCCTCAAGGTACGTTATCAAACTCCAACTGTGGTATCATAATATCAAAAAAGAAAATTGAGGGACTGAAAAATAAAATTTAATCTGTAAGTATGGAATATCATAGTATGTGCATAATAAATACAATTGATAAAAAAAAAGTAACATTAAGAGAATTTGAGATTCTTTAATTTTGGATTACTTTGATTTAAATTTCTTTTATTTACTAAATATTTTGTTTAGATCAAGTAATTCAAACTTCTTCAATTTTAAATGCTTTGTTTTGGGTAGGGATAATATGATTTTAAAATTAAATTTTATGAAATACATAATAGTCAATTTTTAAATATTCGATAAACTTTAAGGTTTTAACCTAATTGGAATCTTTCTATATTGTCGTGATATTCTCTCACCTAAATTTTATTTAAAAACATAATCAACAATTATGTTAAGTATCGTAATCATGCATTTTTCTTATTCTTATAATAAAATTAAAATGAGTATGTGTATTTAAAAAAGAAGTAAATAAAAGTTAAAAATTTAATTACATAAAATATAATTTTAAAATATAATTTTTTTATTTCTTATCTAATTTTATTTTATTAAATAGTTATTATTATTATTATTATTATTAGTAGGAAAAAGACACTCCGTAGTTACATTATATTAAAAAAATAAAAAAAAAATAAGAAATTACTCATAAAAAAGGTAGTTATTGAAAAATAAACAAAAGATAAAATAGAACACGTAAAAATAGAAATAAAAAGTAGTTTTTGAAAGTGATATCCCTTTAAATATTAGTATAGATAAATAAAAAATAAAATAATAAGAAATTACTCATAAAAAAGGTAGTTATTGAAAAATAAGCAAAGAATAAAATAGTCCACGTAAAATTAGAAACCAAAAGTAATTTTTGAAAATGATATCCCCTTTATATATTAGTATAGAAATATAGACTCATTAATTTCAAGTTCTTAAATTTGATTAAAAAATATTTTCTAATTTTTTAAAATAAACGAATATAATGATAAAAAAAAGTGAAAATCAAAATAGTTACCAAAATTGTATTTTCTTTATATATTAGTATAGATTTATATATTTATTGTCAAATAAATTTTCGTTTAACTTATTTTATCTCCTTCTATTCCCAATCCTCTTCAACAACAACAAAGCATAAAACTACCGATGACAGTTTTTGATTATGGCGCCCAAGCAAAGCAGTGAAAACTGGCGGTTCACGTGAAAAAGAGTGACAGGCTTTACAATGCCACACGGATAAAGAACAACCAAACACCTTACTCCGCCAAAACCTTTATGACAACATTTACCTCTAAGCTTCCAAACCATATCATATTGTATCTTACATTCCTTTTCCAACTTCACTTTGAATGCCTCCACTTTCATTTAAAAAAGTTTTTAATCTTTTAACTCTTTTAAGATTTTTTTTTTTACTTTTAGTTTCGCCTTAACTTTTATTTTTGTCATATAAATTAGTTTTAAACATTAATTTTTTTATGTTAAATAATAATATATGTCAACAAATTATGCTTGACTCACTTTTTGATATTTATGTAATTATTTAATAAATATCAAATCATAAATCATATAATATTTAAAATTTTATTATTTATTTATAATTATATGAATTATCATTTAATATAAAAATTTTAATTTAAAGACTAATTTATGTGACACAAAATTATTATTATTATTAGTAGGAAAAAGACACTCCGTAGTTACATTATATTAAAAAAATAAAAAAAAAATAAGAAATTACTCATAAAAAAGGTAGTTATTGAAAAATAAACAAAAGATAAAATAGAACACGTAAAAATAGAAATAAAAAGTAGTTTTTGAAAGTGATATCGGAAATCAATTTTTATGATTTGTCATTGTAATTTTTTTGGTTGCATATTATTACTTGCATTTGTTTCCAATGATTTTTGTTAGAAAAGATAATAGTTTCACAAATAATTTATTTTCCTTCCTCTCTAAAATAACACAATTTTATTCTCCTTGATTCATTTGTGCAAGCACTGATACGATTATCTCTTGTATCTAAAATTCTCAACAATATTATGTAGTACCTAATTTGTTATAGTTTATTTTTTAGGTTCTTAGAGACAGAAATGTGGTTGTGCAGCTTGTGAGAAGAGCTGAAAGAGCTGGATTCAATGCAATTGTCCTTACTGTGGACTCTCCAGTTCTTGGCCGTAGGGAGATGGACACCAAAAACAGGTTGAATAACATTTGTAAATGTAAATGAGAACAGTCTTTTCACAAAACTTTACATGGTTGAATATATACTATTGGCTTGTTTCATGGGGGTATTTTTATAGATTTACATTGCCACCAAACACGGTATTGAAGAATTTTGAAGGATTAGATCTTAGAAAGTTTTACAAGGTGTGTGAATCTGTGATTCATGATTTGTATGAAAATTTGAAATTAGATGGGTTTTTCCATTATTGGTTATCTTATTGTTGCTATTTTTTGTTTGGGATTATCTTGCAGACCAATGACTCTGGTCTTCCATCTTATGTTGGATCAGTTGATCGATCAATCTTGGACAGAGGTGTGTATATAAAACTATGTACAGGATTGTCGTTATATAAAACCAGTAGAGAACTATTCTAGGACAAATCAAGCTATTTAAGGAATATAATTATGACAGTATCACAATTCTATAGTTTCCCTTTCTAATTACAAATGAATGCTGATTTCTTTGATTAACTTATTACAAATGAATGCTTCTAATAACATGAATGTTGGTCCCCTTCAATTATTTCCTTTAACATCCCCCTCATGTTAGAGTGTTAATGGCAATGACACCCAACTTGTCGAGACGTCTATGAAATGTTAATCGCAATAGTTTTGTAAATGTATTTATTGTTTGATGTTTGATTTCCACTTTGCACATTGGATTTCTTGATCTCTCTTCTTTCGATTCTCTCACAAATAGCGTGAAAATCTAATTTAGTGTGTTTTGTTTGATCACGGTATACCATATTTGTATTAATGAGTGTGTTTGCTTGATTGATACAAAACAACCTTGTTGCTCAAGATATAATACATGTATTCTTTTAACAAATATATTTTGTTCTATGTTATTAGAAAAAAAAGTATTTTTTTTTAAAATATAAGTAAATTTTAACTATTTTATTTTTAGTTTCGACATAAATTAATTAAGCATGTTTATAGTGTGTTTTGATGAAATATTTGAGAAGCTTATAAGCTTCTTTTTAACCAATTCTTAAATTAGTCTAATCAAAAGAAATTTATTTAATAAGAGTGCTTATTTTAAGATGTTACAGTTTATTTCTATAAATTAATTAAAGTAATTGATAATTTATAAATTTTTAATTTCTTTTTCATTTTTTATCCTCATTAATTTTCTTGAAGTCCTTCTTTACTTTTTTTAATTTAGAATTTTGCTTATATTTTATTTTCTCACTCTTATTACCAAATAAATAAATGTCATTTTATATTAATTAGTTATCTTATTAATTAATTTTATTAAACACATTCAATTCAATCAGATAATTTATAAACTTTTAATTTTTTGGTTTTTAATTTTATAACTTATAACTTTTTTATAAGTTAATTTTACCAAAAACACTTTGTATAGATTTTGTACTACCTAATTGTGAGATAGATTAGCTTCCTAGCTAGCTTGTGATATCAAGTGGGATCCATGGGGGGCTTCACTCCCTGTTTTTTTCCCTCTATTAATACCAAATCAAGTTCTATATATGCGGACAATTTTTAGTTTTAATCCAAAGTAACCTAGACTCTTTTGATATGTCGAATGTGTAGTTTTGTTGACAAACTATAAATCTTTCTTTGAACAACAACTTCAATGCTAAAAAAGTATCTGAGTAGTACAAGGTCTATAAGCTTTAAATGACAATTGAGAAACTTCTTAAAGTCGCCGATGGTTGTTTCATTGTTGCTTGTACTAAGCATATCACAAAGTACCACCATAGTAAAGGAATATGAACAAAGCTATGTAAAATATTGTGCAATCGACCTTTGATGGTTGAAACACAATTTCTTGAATTTCACAATAGAAATGTTGGAACCAGTTGCAAGATGCTTGCTTGTGGCCATAAAATGATTTAGGAGTCGAAAAACGACATTATCCTCCAATTGAAAATAACTCAAAGGGTCAACATGTACACTTCCTTAACCAGTTGCAGGTGTTTGATCCTTACCTTTTTTATCGCATAGGCTCATGATCTTCTTGCACTCCTAAACTTTAAAATTTGGGTTCTCAGTGGTTGATTCTTTTTTCATTTCAACATTGTGAGTTGCTACCTTCATATTTATGGGTCGTGATCTTTCCATGCCATTAGTGTCCCATTGAGAATTTAATACTATATAACATCTACCGACAAAACTTATTCATGCCTTAAGATGATAATATTTACTTAAGTTTATTCAAGCACTTTATTGTAGACGTAATTAACAAAATCTTAATGATGACATTTCGTTCCATATTCTTTCTTATCTTTTCCTCTTATTACATATCATTCTCTTCTTTAGAATCACCTGTTTACCTTTTTTTCATAAATAAAGTTCTTATGAAACTTATCAACAACTTACAAACCAAAACCTAATCTTATAATTTAATATTAATTATAGGTTATTTTAATAATTAAGAATGTTTTAATTAATAATATGATTATTGACCTTATAAAAAAAGAGAGAGATTAAAAGGGATGAGACTGCAGGGCCTAATAAGGGGATTAAGGTTTATAGACCCTAATTGGTTGGTGTAGTAGTGTGTTGTGGCGACAAGTGTTAAGCTAGAGACACTAGAATCATGCTCTAATACTGTAAAAAAATGAACAGAGGACTCTGTTTTTGTATATACATTAACTTTGTACCGGGCTATACTGTTATATAAAACCAGCAAAAAAACCATTCTAGCAAAAATCGAGCTATTTTAGGAATACAATTATGACAGTATGATGATTCTATAATTTCTTTATGCTAATTAGAAATAAATGTTGATTTCCTTGTTTTGCTAATTACAAATGAATGTTGATTCTCTTTATTGATTTCCTTTCCTTTAACAGATCGGTCGCTCAGCTGGAAGGTGATGTCGAATTTTCACACATATAACTTTGTAATTTATAACACTGAATGTGGAAGTAATTAATACTATAGTAAATCATTTTACAGGATATAAAATGGCTTCAAACAATCACTTCATTGCCAATTATATTGAAGGGTGTACTTACTGCTGAAGATGGTAAGCTTATAAAACAAATACATTATTGTTTCCCTGTCCATTTTATCCTTGTTAGTTTTGATTTCTCAATCTTGAATCTAATCCCATATCAAATGCTAATAATGTAGCAAGGTTAGCCATACAAGCTGGAGCTGCAGGAATCATTGTTTCCAATCATGGAGCTCGCCAACTTGACTATGTCCCTGCAACTATTATGGCTTTGGAAGAGGTATCCCTTCCTAATCGTCCCTAAAATTTTAGGTTTAAATATATTTTTAATCTTTTAAATTTAAGATAATTTTTTATCACTTAAATTTAAAATTGATATTTTTAGTTCTTATAATTTAAAAAAAAAACTTTATTTTAATCTTTATATTCAAATTTTATTAAAGAATTTATCAAAGATTGTCCCATAAAATCTACCTTATAATGTCTTTATTAATGAAAGTATCACATTAAACCTAATTGATAGTGCAAAACTGTCTCAATTTGTCACTTTCAAATATATTATTGATGACTTAAAGACTAAAAAAATATTTTTAAAAATTATAAGAACTAAAAATAACAGTTTTAAATTTAAGGACAAAGACAAATTTATCCTTAATTTGAAATACTAAAAATTTATTAACGCATTGTCAATATTGGTTGGTTGCCTTGAATAGGTAGTTAAAGCTGCACAAGGAAGAGTTCCAGTTTTTTTGGATGGTGGAATTCGTCGAGGGACGGATGTTTTTAAATCACTAGCTCTTGGAGCATCTGGTGTATTTGTAAGTATATGAAAGTTTGATCATCATCATAGCAATTTAAAATGTTCAATGCCTAGTTCTTAAGTTCCGTAGAGAAGTATATGATCCAGATCTTCAAAATTTCCTAAAAATATGACTTTGCCACGAATGTAATGGAAACTTATGGAGTATGCATTTACATTTCATTGGTTTACTAGTGTTTCATTAGAGGATGAGGATATGAGAAAATCTACCTAGCCCTACATTCTTGCTGTTTATATTTTCTCCTTTGATGTCAAATTTCAGATTGGTAGACCTGTGGTGTTCTCATTGGCTGTTGATGGTGAGGCTGGTGTGAGAAAAGTACTTCAAATGCTTCGTGATGAGTTTGAGCTAACAATGGCACTAAGTGGTTGTGGTTCACTCAAGGAGATAACTCGTGACCATGTTGTGACGGAATGGGATCGCCCAAGAATTGCTCCCAAGTTATGATTGTAGGACTCTAGCATGTTTGGCTATATTCTAAAATTCTTATTTTATAATAACCCGATGTTCGTATTCCATGCTTCAATGGGAAGCTTTGTGTTACATTGAGTCATGTAGTGCTACTTCTTTATGGGTGTTTGTGATTCATTGATTGTGAGATCATACCTACTATGTGTTCATTTCCAATGGCCAAGTGATAGATCCAAACGAATTTCATCTGCACCTGCTTAGATGAAAGACTTTATTTAAGGGGCCTTTTGTGTTTAAATGATTGGTTATCTTTTAGTCGTGCTTTGGGAATTCGATTTGGCCCATCAGGCAGCCCTGTTTAAGCTTAAATAAATAGGTACAATTACAGACTATTAAGCTGTTTTTGAGAATTTGGAGGGTAAAAAGCAAGAAATATATATTTTTTAATATAATATCTAAAATATTCTCATTTATATTTTTAAAATTTAAAATTTAAAATTATAAAAGTATTAAAATAAATTGATATTTAAAATCTCTCTCTTTGTAAAGAGTTCCTTTTTTCCTTTCTTTTTAATTAAACAAAATTTCTAATTTCTTTCCTCATCTTTCAACCATTGGAAGTCTTATAGATTTTTTTTTCTTCACTTTTTTATTACTTCCAAACAGAGGAAGGAAGTGTATCTTCTTTTTCGATCGAGCATGGTTTAGTTACTTAGGATCACAAAATCAAATTTTTCCCAAAAAAAAAAATAGATACTTTTTTTGGTAAAAGAAATTCCACCAGTCTAACTCCAAACATTTTTTTTTTAAAATTTAGCCAGCAAGAAGAAAAGACATTTATTTGCATGGGATGTAGGGTCTTCTTTAAAGTAAGATAAGCCAAATTATTAATGCTTGCGATGCATCATTTATGACAGACCACTTTGTAATAGTTTTGAAGTATTGTTATGTTATTTTTTTAATCAAAATCAAAGTTTTATTTTGATAATTTATATAATATTTTAATATACACTTTTATTAAGATAAAATTCTAGTTTTAATCGATAACAACAATAAAATTGTATATGACTTTTGTCTTTTAAAGGTGCCTAACTTGTGGAAACTGGATAGTATACCCAAAACTTTTGCAACTTATTATTGTATTTCTTTTTAGAATTGTATAGGTAGAGGAGAAATTTTACTAAGGTGAAAAAATAAAATGTACAAAATTCATAAAAATTAACAAGATTTAATACATTTGTAGGTCCATAAACTTTGAGTTTTTTTAAATAAGTTCATAAACTAAAAAAAAAACTTGTATTTGAGTCTTTAATATTTTTCAATTCTTTTAATTGGGTCTTTGATATTAATGACTCATTTACAAATCATTAACTTTGACAAAATATTCTTTATTATTTCCTTATCTCAGGAACTTATTGCAAAAATTGGAAATTAATGTTTTATGATAAATTTTATAATTTAAGGACCTATTTAAAAAAACCCAAAAAATTTATGGCCTATAGATTTATTTCCTTAAATAAAACTTAGTAACGAGAGACATGTCTTATAATTTGTGTATCCTATAAATCTCATTATAGGGTTCCTCTTATTTAGAATTTAAAAGAATTATTAAGTCATCCAATAAAATAATATATATATATATATATGTTTATTTCCTTAATTTTAAAATTATTATTTTTAGTTTCTATAATTTTTAAAAATCTTATTTTAGTCTTTCATGTCATCAATAATATATATTAAAGTAATAGCTTGAGATAATAAATGTAGTTTCAACTAGATTTGATGTGATATTTTTACCGATAAAAATATTGGTAAATAGATTTTAGGCGACAAAATTTGATACATTTTTTTAAAAATTTTGAATATAAAAATTAAAATAAAATTTCTTGAAATTACAAGGATTAAAAAGACCAATTTTCAATTTGAGGGACTAAAAATAAATTTACTTTAAATTTGAGATATTAAAAACATATTTAAGCATATTATAAATTTATAATCATGTACTCGCACTTGTCATGTTAAAAATTAAGTGCTCCCACTCTTTTCTATATTTTTATTTTGTTAAAAAAGTCAAAGTTAATATATTAAGTAGTATATATAATACTCTCTGTTAGCTTTTCAATATAATATTAATTATCTCTTCTTCTTTTTTTCATTTATACCCTTCATAATATTTTTTAGAAAGTGAATATTGTATTACATTGTTTATAGTAAAGATCAAGATTAATCATAAGATTTTTTATTTCTAATTTCAGTAAAATAACTTAGAACGATAAATATTATGAGAGAAAGAGAGTACTAATTATAGTTAAATCAAATCAGTAAAGGAATTAAAGAGTGATGATTGACCTAAATTCATATTATACTATTTTTAAAATGAAAAAAATGTCAAAATTTTGATACGGGATATAGAAAGAGATATTTTTAAAAGTGTTGAAAATGATAAAACCATTCAATATTTTTAAAATATGAAATCTCATATCAAACATATGATAATTTATTATTTAGATTCAAATCAATATATAAAATATTTTATAATTATTCATTAATTTAAATTAATAAAATAAAATATTAAATATATAATTTTTATTTTTAAAAATTTATAAACTTGATTAATACATTAACAATTTTTAATTTAATGATTAGATCATTAAAATTTGATAAAAAAATATGAATTATTAAGTAAAATAAATTTAATAAAACTTCCTCTTTTAAAAGAAGTGAATCCCTTTTTATAATAAATTATACATGAAAGATTGATTAGTTAGCAATTAATAATAGAATTGTGTTTTTAGTAAAGTTGTGAAATTCATCCTATTGATTTGGCGCATCTTGATGAATCAAAGTCTTACAAGTAAATTGAGCCAATTTTCAAATAGGCCACAATTTTTTTTTTGTCCTATCTAGTTTCACACGCCAAGCCAAATTAACCCATATATTTTTTCACAACTCAACCAAATTTGATTGACTCATTGAGGTAAACCAAATAAACCATGTTCTTTTTATTTCAAAATGAAGAGTCTTAATCTAGTTCATCAAACCAATTTTCACAATTCCAGATTTTACGGTGAAATATATCTTTTTTAATATTATTTTATTTTAAAAAATATTATTCCATTCACTTCGCAATAAAAAAATAGCATACAAACTTTTAATATTGAATAACTTTTGAGTTTTTAAACTAGTTCTCTAATAATGGTGTAAAAAAAATAATCTAGCTCCCTAATTATTATTTTTTTCATATTTTATAACTAGGTCTTTATTGTAAGTTAAGGGTTTGTAAATAGAACATTAACCCAATAGAAAAAATTACAAAAATTTATTTTGAAAAGATTAACAATTCAATTAAAAAAATTATATTTTAAGGATCTTTTGAGAGAGAGAGAGAAAAAAATCATGACCAACTAATTAATTAAACTAATTAGCATCACATGGTAATTGTACAATTATACCTGCAGTATAGAATGCTGAAGTGGCACATTATTTAGACAAAAAGTGACACAAATAGTGGCACTTTAGCCCCAGAGTTGTAGATCATTGCATTCCAGTGTCCGATTTTAACACTAGAAATTAGATGGGTGAACGTAATGAGCAGAATTTTTCAGCCCAATGAAATTATGCAGATAAAGGGGCTATCTTAGTTTCTGTTTTTTATTTTATCCTTTGTTCTAATTTTGTTACATGCATGGGGCTCTTCATTCAGGTTTAACAATGAAGAGGCAGTAATGTATTCTACTGATATTGAATATTTGTCCAATCCTATGTCCTAACTAGTAAAAAAAGCTAAACATGTTCAACGAATGATATATTATTATATATTCTATATAGTATCCAAAAAGATAAGTAATCGCCTGTGTAATAGGTAATCACTTATCTAATAGGTAATCTCTATCCCATTAATATAAAATATAAATATTATAAGAGTTAATCACTTATATATTATTAGTATAATTTTTTTTATACTATCAACGAAATAAATTTTTTAATAATATTATGTCAATTGCTTATTTAATAAAATAAAAATAAAATAAAATAATTAAAAAAATCTGATTGATTATTAGTATAAAAAAATTTTACACTGATAATATATTAATGATTAACTCATATTATAAATAAAGGGATATAATATATATAACAAAAACTTTAAACTTTTTATCTTTTATTCTAATTAATCACCATTAACTTAAATATTGAAATCTCTTTAACAGAATTTTTCCTTATTGAAACATCCTATCTATCAAGCTAAGGAGATTCAAGCACCTCAACTAAAAAGGTTAACATCAAACCATTCCAAGTGAGAACATATATAACTGTGAAGGAAGCAAGTGAAGATATGTGTCACTACAAGGTATCCGTATTCAAATGGCTAAGGTACATCAAGATATTTTTGCCGATATTTATTGAATTTGGGGAAGGGGGAAATATCTAATCTGCCGAGTAAGAAGAGAATGGACATTGACCCAAAGCCAACAATGTCAACAGTGCAATTTTAAAAACGTTTTCGTTCTTGTATGTGTGATACTAGACTTTGCAATTTTATAAACGTTTTCTTGCTTGGATGCATGTGTGATTCAATTTATACATGACAAAATATTAAGACTAAAAATTTAAATAAATTAACTATTTTAATTAATTATACTCTAAATTTAATAAATTAATTTTTATATATTAAGCACGAACATCTATCTTGTATATAAATATTTTTAAAGAATCTTTTTTATGAGAGTATTTTTAGGATTTTTAATTTTTTTTATTTAATTTAATTTTTATTTATCATAATTATTTATGAATAAAATTTTAATATTTTAAAGATAAATTATTAATAAATAAATTATAACAAGAATATTTAAATAAGTTTAATTTTTTTTGGATCATAATAACTCACTTTTCAAATATCTTACCCCTCTCTTTGATATAGAACATTGATTGCAACGATTTCATAATCGACTCATTGAAATAAATATAAATGAATAATGCACCCTCTTAAAAACATATAAAAAGTTTTATCCTGACTCAAGGAAATTAAATATTATATATATGTATAAAATTATGATTTCAAATAAATCAATACTATCATCAAAGCTAATAAAATACTAGTTAAGAATATATGATAGAAATTTATCTCTAAATAACTTTTGAAACTAATAATTGACACTTTTTTTTTTGTCTACGGTTATAATCTACGCAGTGTTCAAAAGTTGTCTAAAGTTACCGATAACGACCTACTAGAATTTCTATACTTAATGAAATCACCCATTAGTAGTAGAAAGCATAACCCTTATCTAAGTTTCACATAGTTATAAATTTTGGATAACATCATAAGAAACTATTATATATATATATATATATATATATATAAAATAAGGTTTTGCAAAAATAACTAAAAAACTATACAAATACATATGTATATACAGTAATCCAAAACTATATATGATATATGATCCTAGGTATCAGTCAAAAAACTATAGCAAAATCTACAAAAGTAGCCAAGGACAACACTGTCATCAACGTGGCTCACCAAAACTCCAACATACCTTCAATTAACCTTGTCTTACTTTTATGTAAACATAATCATTGCAATTCAATCACTAAAAAAACACATAAAGGTAAACTAGATTTCAAAAGGATCAATAAATAACAAGTATATATAAAATACACAATATACTACCAACAATAACATATGAACCACTCAACATGCACCTCATGACTCACATTATACAACTATAAACATGACATCAAAAAGTTTGAAAAGCAACAATTAAAACAATCAAACTTATACCATAACCATGTCATACAACTATATACGCACCAACACATAAATAACATCAATCACAACATATCGTATGCATACATCATAATTTAGATATGGGTCAACCACGATATTGACATACATTAATTAATAATCTCTAAAATTATTTATTATTAATGGGACAACTATTTATTAGAGAACAAATTAAATTTTATGTTTGTTATGTAGTCCAAATCATTTATTAATGCTTTGACAATTATTTATTAGTGAACATGTAATAACAACAATTTGATGAGATAACGTGCTGATAAGAGCTTTTATGAAAATATCTATTTGATAGAGAATTTTATGACCAACTTTTACGTATAAAAACTCTTTAGAAAAATAATAATTCCAGTATCATGAATTAATTTCTAATTTAATGGATTGAATAATACTTATGACAAGAGAAGAAAAAATGTAATAAGAACTAAAATATCTTAGAATATAAAGAGGGACCAATATATTTTGTATATATAATTTATAGACTAAAAAGTACATTTAAGACTAAAATTATAAGAAAATTTTTTATAAGGATGAAATGGCAAGAATTTTTTTTAAAGGCTAAAAGTATAAAATAAGTATACAATAGAGTTTTGCAACAAATTTAAGCGTATATTTTTTCCTTTCTGCATTTTCTTTCCACTTATAACAACATAAAATATTACTCTCCCAGCTCCCCCCAATAACTGTATTTTAAGATTTTTACGCATAAATTAAGAATAACAACAAATACTAATAAATACATTATTTTAAAGTTTTTTTTAGTAAATACATTATTTTTAAGGTTTTTTTATGTGTAATGATTAAATTTTCTACATTAAAAAAACTACGACCTAGTAATTAAGTTTTTTTTTCTATAACTTTTTTTATAACAATATTATTAATACATAATATACTTTGTGGATAATTAATCCTTCCATTATATGTGGACAATCCCCCATAATATACCACAAACAATCATTCAATTTGATTGAAAAATGCGTAAGAAACCATCGGATTCAATTTCTGGAATGGATAAATTAAACTAGAGTATCTTATCACTGGGTAAAAAAAGCTATATTAGATAAAACAATGATATTTAAACGCCCATTAGTTATAAACACTCTAGAATACCTATCATTTTTCTCCATCTTTTTTAATCACATTATTAATATATTATCTTTTATACTTTTTTTTTCTTACTTTTCCTTTATCATTCTAGGTGTCAAATAGAATTAAGATATCCGTAAATATTTTTTATTAGCTAAATCTAAAAAAGAAAAGGCAGAATACACACTAAGAAACCATGCATATACTATTTACGAAAGAAATTGTTATAAGATTCATAACCGTATTAAATTTACATAACCTTGATACACAAACTGTCTATTGAGGAAAGAGACGACTAATTACTTTGGATAAACTTATTCATTAACACTTACAGAAAATAAAAAATAAGAAAGAAAAAATAAAAATAAATTTCTCCATAAAATAAAATAAACTTACTAAGATTTTACCATTTTGAAAAATTAATAAAAGAGAATTTCTATAAATAAATTGATGCATAAGTTAATTTTAATTTGTGGAGAAATTTATTTTATTTTATTTTCCTATTTTTCTTTCTTATAAGTGTTTTTTTTTTGTTGATAAATTTAACCAAACATACTCAAATTCTCTTACAACAAGTAAACCCAAATTTCATTTGATTTCCCTTGATTTTGATGATTTAACATGTGCTAGTGACTGTATGGTGATGTTTCTTGGACTCGATTCTTCCTCTTCTGGAGAAATCTCTGCAGCGACCTTTTCATGGAAAGTCCAGAGGAAGGGCTATAGATGTTATGGGGTGATTGCAGCATTGGAGAAGATGGTTCTGAACCAGTTGGTGTCATCACTCTTCTCTCCATCTCCTTGTTCGCTACCATCAGAATGGATCTGGCCTGCATGCAATTCACGTGACCGCACTCATCAATTTTTTTCATAATCCAAACAATTGACCCCACGACTTAGACGTGACACACCACGTGAATATATTATTCACCACCTATAATTAACGCTGGCTACTAACAAAATTCATAATATTCGATCACTATTTGTATTTTATAAAGTATGAAATGTGGTGACTTTGAAAAAATAAAATGCCCTCGAGAAAAACATGCACCAAACAAAAGTGTCCATCGGTTCTATTATTATATTCATGTGATGTGATCAACTTTTTTTTTTTTTTTTGGGGTCAAAAATTGTGTCATTGCTTTCAGACCTCGAAACTTCTTGGAAAGTAGAAACTAGCCCAATTCCACATCAAGCAGTCACATTTTCATGAACACAACCTTCTGCCTTTGATATCTTCCTCCTGTCTTGTACTGTGTACTGCTTTGTCACCAACTTAATTAACAGCAAGAAGAATATGCCATAATTAAAATAAAGTTATTATATCATATATTTATTTTATTATTTTCATATAACATCATCTGAGATTTTTTTCTTCTTCTTATCTCTTTTTTTTTTTTTTTCCTACCACCTCATGGGTGTAAGATTAATATTCCTCTTAAACATCTTTATTCTCTCCGCCCACAAACTGGGTAACCATTTATTCTATATTTACTCATTAATAATAAATTGAATCAAGCTAACACAATAATTAATGATAATCATAACAATCACTGTATCTGGCATACAGTATGAAGTCAAATTATATATTTAACTATTGACATAGATAATGGATACTCCCTCTCTCCTACATATAAGTAAAAACAGAAAACTAATTTCATATATATTAAAAACATATAAGTAAAAAAAAATTAATTTTACATAAATTAAGAAAAATAGTTAAATGTATTTATTTTTTATGATTTCGTATAAATATATATTACATTTACTAAAATATCTCTAATTATATATTTAACCATAGGTAGTTTTTATTTATTATCTTAAGAGTATTTTTTAGATTAAAGACATTAAATAAAATTAATGCAGTTGAAATTTACTTATTTTAGTCTAAAAAACTTAATTACTCTTTTGTTTATATAAAAATTCAGAGAAAGTGTCTCATAGTTTAATTAACCCCATTAATCGTAAGGTTAATAAAAAAAATGGTATAGCTAGCAGCTGCTTCTTTTTTAGACCAAAGAATATAGGAACTCTTTAGAAAAATA